GTTCTCTTCCCTTTTTCCACTGTAGGAATCAGGGAATTTGACTTTGACCGGTTCCCGACGAGGAGGACGTGCCTCCTCCTCCTTGGGAGCTGTCGCTTTGACGCCCTCAATGGCGCCGGCACAGAACCGCTCAGTCTTGTCGAGGCGGTGACCCACCTCGGTCCCTATAGCGCCTACCAGCTCACGCGCAAAGTCTTGAAACCCCAACTTTATGGAACGCACAGCTATGTGTTGACTCCTACTAAAATCATATTGCTCCGCCTGAATTCGTGTCAGGCGTGCAACGTTTCGGGCTATGACTCGCATTTGCGCTGGGAGTTCGGTCTGGGCGGCCAGTTGCTCTTCTATATTCTTTACTTCCTCTAATTCTTCTGCCGCCTCCGCTGCCGCGTCCACTCTCCTCTTCTTCTCCCTCATCACTGCCAACTTCCACTCCATCCTCTTTTCGTCTTCCAATGCCTTCCGCTTCACAACATCCTTTTCTGCTTCCCAAGCTCTCATAGCGGCTTCCTGATCATCTTTAGAGATATACATCGCCACCTCTTCTTCTTCGCCCAGGGATAAGTTGGCGACCCACTCGGAGATTCGCTTCTCCATCTCTTCATCCCTACTACCACTGTACTGCACCCTCTTCCTCTGCAATGGCGTTTCATCTTCTTCCTCCTCTTCCACCTCTTTCAACTTCTCTTCTTCTTCTTTCTGTATCCTCTCCTTCTCTTTGGCCATCTTCTCCTCTATCTTCTTCAGTTTGGCCGCCTGCTCCTCCTTCAAGGCCTTCTTCTTGGCCTCCTTCTTCTCCTTCTTCTCCTGCAGAATGGCGGCCATCTTCTCCTCCTCCTCCTTCGTGTAGGGGTTGGTGGAAGTCCCACCACGAGTGGGCCCTACTCTACACGTGAAAGTGGGCCAAAAGCTCAGAGGAAAGAGGAGACGCCAAAGGGTCCCCCAGAGGGAGAACCCAACAAGTAGCCCATACATCGGATAGTCATCCATCGTGGTGTTGGTGCACGACAAAGGTCCCACTCCTCACCACGTAGACCTACCCGGACACTCTAACCTACTGACTGACTCCCTAAGGACCACANGATAAGAYMMTGTCRATGATGATCACAACTAACCCAAGACTACTCTAAGGCTGTCACTACAGAACCAAGAGCTGATCAAGAGCTATTTAAGAAGATCCCCCAAACTTCGCAAGAATTCTTTAACGTCGCAGTCAGGACGACGCGATCAGCTTGGTTCCTCTGGCGATTTCAGCCTACAACTCAGCCCGTCCAGCCTCCTGTGCCACACCGAGCAACCCGCCGGTCAGTACCGGTCCTTGGAGGGGTTCGTATCCCTCGGGACAGTCGAGTCGTCAGACACGGATCATCAGCCTTCTGGGTCCGGTAGGGGAGTGGCTCAACCAGGCCTCAACACTTAAAGACGGCCTTCGTTTTACGAGGTCATTGGGCTAGACGAGTTGTTTAACGAGCGCTCGCCGCTCATGCTCAGGTCTCCAAGTGCCAGAGTAGAGCTTTGGTCCTACTAAGCCCGTGCAGGTTTGGCAGCAAGGCCCTATCCTTCATCCACAGAGTCCTAGCACCTAAGACAGAAGAGACTCAATGCAGAAAGAGTAGACAGACAACTCAGCAAGTAC